TCCGAGAGACGACGACGACGACGACGACATGAGAGAGGAGAATGAAACGTCGGAGCGTGTTGGATGTAGACGCGGCGGTACGACGCGACGACGCTAGTTTATATATTTATTTATGTAATATCGTAAACGTCGTCGTCTTTGTCGTCGTCGCGGCATCTCAAAACGCGAAAGCGACGATTCGTTCGTCATACGAACGAATCGTAAACTCACACATAGAACGAACACGCGCGCTGTACGGATAAAAATCGTAATAGCACTACATATATATATATATATAATAATATGTATATATGCTGTAGTCGTTACGCGTTTCGAACTTGCGCTGCGATCGTCGTGTCCGAGAGAGAAATTATTTTTTTCGAGATAACGACGTCTGATCGCATATACGCGCTAAACACTAGAGAACGCTTTCGACTAGTAGTAGTATAGCAGCAGCAGCTATACGATTTAGTATTAGCGATCGCGTGTGACATATATATCTGTGTGTGGTGTTGTGTTGTATATTGTTAACCGACCTCAGAGCAGGTGAGACTACCCGCTGAATTTAAGCATATTACTAAGCGGAGGAAAAGAAACTAACTAGGATTCCCTCAGTAGCTGCGAGCGAACAGGGAAAAGCCCAGCACCGAATCCCGCGGTCGATATCGGGCGCCGGGAAATGTGGTGTTAGGGAGGATCCGTTTATCCCGAGGTCGCGCGGCGAGTCCAAGTCCTTCTTGAACGGGGCCACAGCCCATAGAGGGTGCCAGGCCCGTAGTGGCCGCTGCCGATCGCGGGAGGATCTCTCCTCAGAGTCGGGTTGCTTGAGAGTGCAGCCCTAAGTGGGTGGTAAACTCCATCTAAGGCTAAATATGACCACGAGACCGATAGCGAACAAGTACCGTGAGGGAAAGTTGAAAAGCACTTTGAAGAGAGAGTTCAAGAGTACGTGAAACCGTTCAGGGGTAAACCTGAGAAACCCGAAAGGTCGAAAGGGGAAATTCATTCGCGTTTCGGCCGTCGGCGATGAGCGGTCGCGCGACGGACGGCGTTCGCGCGTCGTCCGCGCCTTTCGCTTTTCGATCCGGCGTCGAACGCGTGCACTTTTCCCCTAGTAGGACGTCGCGATCCGTTGGGTGTCGGTCTACGGCTCGCGGTGGAGTCCGTGTACGATCGTTTCGGCGATTCGTGCTCGAACCCCGATGTTCCGGCCGACTCGCTCGACGGTATACAGATGGCGCGAGGCCGCTACTTCTTCAATTAGCGTCCGACCCACGACAAGCACGTTCGATGCTAAGACGGCGATCGGACCTAGCGCCCGGTTCCGTCCCCGGACGACTGTTGGTCGTGCGGATTTCTCGGACAGACCTCGTTTGAAACGCCGATCTGCGACGCTATAGCTTTGGGTAATTTCAGGACCCGTCTTGAAACACGGACCAAGGAGTCTAGCATGTGCGCGAGTCATTGGGACATAACTAAACCTAAAGGCGCAATGAAAGTAAAGATCCGCCTAGCGCGGATTTAGGGAAGATGGGCGGCACGTCTATAAAGCGGCCGCTCCGCACTCCCGGGGCGTCTCGTTCTCATTACGAGAAGAGGCGCACCAAGAGCGTACACGCTGGGACCCGAAAGATGGTGAACTATGCCTGGTCAGGACGAAGTCAGGGGAAACCCTGATGGAGGTCCGTAGCGATTCTGACGTGCAAATCGATCGTCGGAACTGGGTATAGGGGCGAAAGACTAATCGAACCATCTAGTAGCTGGTTCCCTCCGAAGTTTCCCTCAGGATAGCTGGCGCTCGTCTGTGACGAGTTTCATCCGGTAAAGCGAATGATTAGAGGCATTGGGGTCGAAACGACCTCAACCTATTCTCAAACTTTAAATGGGTGAGATCTCCGGCTTGCTCGAACTAATGAAGCTGCGAGAATCGAATCAGAGTGCCAAGTGGGCCATTTTTGGTAAGCAGAACTGGCGCTGTGGGATGAACCAAACGTCGAGTTAAAGCGCCTAAATCGACGCTTATGGGATACCATGAAAGGCGTTGGTAACTTAAGACAGCAGGACGGTGGCCATGGAAGTCGGAATCCGCCAAGGAGTGTGTAACAACTCACCTGCCGAAGTTACTAGCCCTGAAAATGGATGGCGCTGAAGCGTCGTGCTTATACTCGGCCGTCAGCGGCATGTGCGGTCTCGATCCGCGTAAAAACGGATCGGCCATGAAGCTCTGACGAGTAGGAGGGTCGCGGCGGTGCGCGCAGAAGGGCTGGCCGTGAGGCCGTCTGGAGCCGCCGTCGGTGCAGATCTTGGTGGTAGTAGCAAATACTCCAGCGAGGCCCTGGAGGACTGACGTGGAGAAGGGTTTCGTGTGAACAGCCGTTGCACACGAGTCAGTCGATCCTAAGCCCTAGGCGAAAGCCGATGTTGATGTGGCGTTGTTTTATAAATATATGTATGTATGTGTGTATATATAAAGAACACGCCCGTCGGGCGAAAGGGAATTCGGTTCCTATTCCGAAACCCGGCAGCGGAACCGTACAATAGTCGGGCCCTCGCAAGAGAGTTCGTCGGGGTAACCCAAAAAGACCCGAAGACGCCGTCGGGGAGACCAGGGAAGAGTTTTCTTTTCTGCATAAGCATTCGAGTTCCATGGAATCCTCTAGCAGGGAGATATGGTTTGGAATGCGAAGAGCACCGCAGTTGCAGCGGTGTCCTGGTCTTCCCCTCGGACCTTGAAAATTCGGGAGAGGGCCACGTGGAGGTGTCGCGCCGGTTCGTACCCATATCCGCAGCAGGTCTCCAAGGTGAAGAGCCTCTAGTCGATAGAATAATGTAGGTAAGGGAAGTCGGCAAATTGGATCCGTAACTTCGGGATAAGGATTGGCTCTGAGGATCGGGGCGTGTCGGGCTTGGCGAGGAAGCGGGTCGCGGCTGACGTGCCGGGCCTGGGCGAGGTGAAACGTTCTGTCGTATGCGTTCGCGCGTGTGCGGTAGGATTGCGGATCCGAACTCGGTACCGTGCCTTGGCCTCCCGCGGAACCGTCTTGCTGCGAGGCCCAGAGTGCGCTCGCAAGGGCGTTCTGGTGTCCTCTTCGGCCGCCATTCAACGGTCAGCTCAGAACTGGCACGGACCGGGGGAATCCGACTGTCTAATTAAAACAAAGCATTGAGATGGCCCCTGCGGGTGTTGACTCAATGTGATTTCTGCCCAGTGCTCTGAATGTCAACGTGAAGAAATTCAAGCAAGCGCGGGTAAACGGCGGGAGTAACTATGACTCTCTTGGCGGTCAAAGGTTCCTGACCTCCACGCGGTGACTGCTGGGCAACGCTCATCCACCCGCCTTACCTTTGGTTAGGCATTTGAACGAGGATGACGGCTAACTAGGAACCAGCCCCCCGATTACCCGGTCGGGGCCTGTCTGCGGACAGTCATAAGGGGTCGGTATGGAAACCGAGGGCGAGATACAGACCACCTTGTATCTTACCCCTTAGGGGAAGACATGCACTTGGCCCAGCCAGCCAAGTTGCATATATCAAGGCTACGACACATAAAACATAGCCTCGGAAGATCGGGATGGTGATGGGCCCACACCATCCCAAAATCCTAGACCAGGGGCCCATGATGATGGAAATGGCGATACAAGGACATTGAGATTTTGCTCCCCTATATAGAAAGGTCATGCCCCCTATGCCTCAAAAGAAGCATTAACATCCTGCACATGACCTTAAATGATGAAATAAAACATGTAAAATCTGATCACAAGGATATACAAATCAGATTCAAATGCAGGATGTGCTCAAAAATGTATATAGCAAAACATGCGGCACTGTGTCACGTCCCCAAGTGCCCGGTGGGAGCTGCTGCGGCAGCCCCACCTCCAGAGTCAACAGACTCAGAGACTGACGGAGTACCAAGTAACAGGCCTATACCCGAATCGGTAGGCGTGGCCTGCCCCGATTGCGGCGAAAGGTACTCCGGCCGCGGTGCACTAACACAGCACCACGGCACCGGCATCCACTCACCCGAAACGAAGCTAGGGCAGCGGGTACACGGCGGTCTCCTCGACAAAGAAGATTGGTTATCTTTACTGAAGAGGAGGAACAAATAATGATGGAGTGCGAACTCCGGTACCGGGGTGAGTTGCGTATAGCAATGCGCATGCGGGAGTTGATACCAGAGAAAACTTTGAAACAACTCCGGGACAAAAGGGCCCAAAAATGCTACAAAGAACGGCGTGAAAGGTACCTCGCAGAAAGAGGGATCACAGCGAGCGCTAGTACTGATGATGACAGTACAGAACCAGTATCCACAGACACAGGGGATGGTAGAGCTACCGTCCCCCAAGAAGAAGCGCCCGAAACCAACAGCTGCGAGGAAGCGGGAGTAGGGGGTGGCTCCCCTATCCCAGTCCCGGAGCTACTCGACGTATCAGCAGTAGCTGCCATTGCAGGGGGTGAAAATAACGTTAATAATATCACCCCCACCGCCGAAAACATAAGTCCGACTCAGACGCCTGACATGTCAGAGAGGGTACTGAATGTCAGTGAAGATGAGTTGGTATCGCCAGCAGCTTCTCCAGAAGAGACACTTTGGAGACAGGATGTTGCTCAGACTGCCCGTAGCTGCAAGTTGACTCGAGCGGCACAGCAACATCTGGAGGTGAACACGGTCACCCAGCTGCTTAGAAATGCAATCTCCGAGGCTTGCGATTTGCCTATGGGGCAGCCCCAATCGCAAATAGATACTTTACATGATAGAGTCACCGCTCTCTTCGTCAGCGAGGAGCGGGGAGTTGCAGGGCGACGAAAGGGAAGGCGTAGAGGACAAAATAAGAGGGGTAACAGACGGTACCTCTACGCCCGTACCCAGGATATTTACAAAAAAGAGCCAGGCATTCTTGCCAAGCACGTCCGTAACAACGTGGACTGGCTGGAGGAACCAGGGGTAAAAGCTCCAGCCCAAGACGTGCGGGACCTGTACAAAAAGCTTTGGGGCACAAATCCGTCGGAAGTACAGGTGCCCTTCCTGGGAGAGCCCTCCGAACCGGCACTTGGGTTAGGTACTGTGCTAACCGCCGTGACGGCGAAAGAGGTGAATACGCGTCTCTCTCGGATGAAAATGTCCACAGCACCGGGTCCCGATGGTATTAAAAAGGGAGACATTAAACGCGTTCCTGGTGCAAACGAAGTCCTCCAGTTATTTTTCAATTTAATCATGATAAGCGGTAAGATTCCTACCGCCTGGAGGAAGAACCGAACTACTTTGATCCCTAAAGAGGGTAAGGACGGTATGTTAGCTGAAAACTACCGTCCAATTACAATCTCTTCTTTAATGTCGAGAATTTACTTTGGCATTATTGACAGCAAACTTAGGGCAAAAGCACGGTTCTCACCCAGACAAAAGGGCTTCATGAACGAATCTGGGTGCTTCAACAACATCCACATCCTCAATGAGCTGCTGAGGCACTCAAAAGCCAAGAATGGCCTGGTCGTAACGCAGCTGGACGTGTCCAAAGCATTTGATACCGTGCCGCACCAAGCTATAGGACACGCGTTACGTCGCAAAGGTTTTCCCGAACAGGTGGTACGTATCGTGGAAAATGCATATGAGGATGTACCACTATTATAGAACTGAATCAGGCGCCAATCGAGATACGCCTCCAGCGGGGGGTCAAGCAAGGTGACCCCCTCAGCCCATTACTATTTCTAGTTTTGGAGCCCTTGCTAGTTAAGCTGGAAACGAGACCTGGGTACAAATCGACACAGAGACGCAGATATCGTCCTTAGCATTTGCCGACGATCTGCTCCTAGTCGCGCAAACAGTACCACATGCTAAGGACCAGTTAAGTAGCACGGAAGCATACCTATCGAGTCTAGGTATGAAGATTGCTGCCAATAAATGCCGCACCTTCCGTGTAAACCGTACCAAAGACTCCTGGTACTTAACTGACCCAGGCCTCGAACTCGACAGTGGAGAAGTGATACCGGTAGCGGGGGCCGGCGATCACCTTGTCTACCTTGGATGCAAGTTGTCTCCCTGGGTTGGGGTCACAACCGAGGGCATACGAGCCGACCTTGCTTCAACTCTTAGTCGTGTGCAACGACTGAAGTTGAAACCGCATCAAAAGGTAGACTTAATCTCTACTTACATTGTTCCTCATTACCTGTATCAGTTGTCCATAGCGATGCCGGCTATGACACAGATAAAACTGATGGACCAGGAGCTACGGGTAGTGGTGAAGAATATTCTTCACCTGCCGCAGGCAACAACGAACGCCTTACTATACTGCGGTAAGAGGGACGGGGGACTTGCGATCCCGAGGTTGGAGTGGCTCGCCACCTCATCAGCCCTAAAAGCCGGCTTAAAGTTCGTGGACAACCCCGACCCGGCAATGCAAGCTCTTGCCACGGGCACTAAGCTCGAGAGTAGAGTGAGGCGACTCGCTCTCGATGCCCGGATAGCTTGGCCAGTTACTGGGGAGCAACTGACCAGCTATACTAGAACGCAAAAGAAGGCTGAGCTTGCCAGATGGAAGCGCCTTGGTTCTCAAGGAAAGTCGGCAGCGGCCTTCGCCGACTCCAAGATCGGAAACGCATGGCTTAGGGACCCCTCGTTGCTCAAGCCATGTCGTATGATTACAGCCCTCAAGATGAGAACCAACTCATGTGCTGACAGGGCGGCCATGAGCAGAGCGACCAGAATACCGGATCCTACATGCAGGCAATGTGGTTCGCAAATTGAGACATTGGGACACATATTGGGGCAATGTCGTCACACGAAACCACATAGGATTCGAAGGCACGATGAGATCAAAAACCTCATCGTGGAAGAACTTAAAAAGAAAGGCCCAGAGGTGGCAATAACGGTTGAACCGACGGTGGCGGCAACCGGAGGCGGGAATCTCAAACCTGACCTGGTAATACAAAGCCGGGGAAGGGTCTTCGTGGTCGATGTTACAGTCCGCCACGAAGACGGGAATAATCTCGCTCAAGGGTTTACAAGCAAAGTAGAAAAAATAGCCGCTTGCTACCTCAATTCCAGCAGAGGTGGGCAGCTTGCTCTGCTGAAGTCCTACCAGTCGTGGTAGGACAAGAGGGGCGATGCCCAGGGAGACCATCAAAAACCTAACTAAGTTAGGAACTCTCAAAATCACGTGCTTTTAACAATGTCGTTAATAGCACTTCGTAGTTCCATCGAAATATACCATGAATTCATGGACTACGACGCCCCGGACGCGCCGCGGCGCGCAACCCCACAGGTGATTCAGCAACTTGTGGGAAAAACTTCTGGCCATTTTAGCCCTACTGCACTTTATTTTAATTGTGGCGTCTGATTTTATGCTTTGATATTATTATTATATTATTTATTTTATTTTATTTATGCATTTTATCTGTGATGTCCAGCTCCGGCTTATTTTAAAATGTTCTCAACTCACCCTATTGGTGACCACCCCTATTGGTGGAGAGTGGGATTGGTGTTGTGCAGTAGGTGCGAGTCGTAAGACGCCTTCCAAGAAAAGGCTAGTCACGGCGGCGGGGTGTGATCTGGATTGAGCTAAGCAATCCATCACCGGCGACAGCCTCTACGAGGCCTTCCCCATCAACTGTTGGGGGTCCGCCCTCACAGAGGGTCCCCCTCAGGCCGATAGTCGCTTTCTCTAATCTTGAGAACCCGTTCACCTAATTTTTCCGAAAAAGCCAAAGATCAGGGTTCCGGCAATAAAGTTAGGTTTCTCCTCCCGTGGGAGGACTCTGGCCAGGAGTGCTAGATAGTTGGGCCGAAAGCGAGGTAAATTGAGGAGCGTGCAAAGAAAGACCCT